GTCTTGGACTCTGGGTGCTATCTATCTGGGATTAGAATGAAGCTGTGCCACACTCACAGCTCCTTCTATAGGGCTAAATAGCCTGGGGAAGTCCAGTATCATCTTAGCCATGGCTGTACTGCAGCTGGTTCCAGAAGGACTCTTCAGGAATTTCTGCACAAGCATGCAGTTATGGGATCTAAATAAGCATAAAGTATATGACTGACAACCTAAACTGCTTAACCCTTCTCACACAACCTCTAGCATGTTTAGGGCCCCCAGATTGAAGTCTCCATGGTTGTTCTCCAGGAAAGAATTTGTTCTTTCAAAATTCTGATTAGGAATTTGGAAAAACTTTCCTGGAAATTAGACATTCCTTGTCTTATAGTTGCAGGTTGATAGAGGCTCTGTGGTCTTGTTTATCATACTGTTGTAATTTCCTATGTCAAACATTTTAATAAATATTGATTTTTTTTTATTAAGTTATTGAAACCAAAGTGTGTTTTGTACTGGGGTGATTTCTGTGAGGCATGCTATATTTCCACTCCAGAAGTGCAAATAAGCTGAAAATTAAATGGGCTTAGGGAAAAACCTGTTTTGGGATTCCTAAATCTACTCAATATGCACACAGAAGGTATTCAGACTCCACCATTCTTCCATTTCACTGCCATCTTTTTTTTTTTTTTTTCCCAATTTCAGCAAAGACACAAAAAAAAAAAGTGGGTAAAATGGAGAAGGTATAGTCAGGTTTCAGGAACTGTAGTTCCATTCACCATTCATTTGATCTGCTCTCACAGCTTGGTTTATTGCTGGTAGAATTTTTGTTTGCTTAAATGTTATCCAGAGATGTGTATTTGAGTTTCACTGTGAGCTCTATGTGCAGCCCCCAATGGGGAAATATTTGGAATGCAAAACAAGCACCTGTGTCTTGTTTCAGTGCAACTTGAGCATAAGCTCAGAGAACCCATCTCTCCTGCTCCTTCTGTCCCCATTTAGCTCTGGGTCAGCAACCATCTATCTGCTATCCCAAATGTTGACATTTATTTAGCTGAGTAAATGTAAGCTAACATTAGCCTCAAACCTGTAATGCAGGAGACGAGATTTACTATGTTCCACTCCCTTCCACTTCTTCCTTACCTCAGCCATGTTGCTCACTCGTGAGGATGATATTTTACAACCTCAGCAAATATCCAAGTGGACCATGAAGGCTGAAATCTCCTCTCATCCCTAAATGTTGTTCTTGCAAGTCCCCTTCCTTCCTGGAACCCCGGGTAGCCACTACTTATGCTGCCCTTGGCTTGGGACTTTAAAAAAAAAAAAAAAAAACCAACCATTCTCTGCAGGACCTTTCATCAAGGCTAGGCCTCTCAAAGGAAACTCAAACTGTTCAGTGCCGATTTACCTTTCTAAATGATGTGTTTGTATTTGCAGGGAGTGGGATGGGTGCCCTAGAGCAAGAGTTAGAGCTACAAGATACTGTACAACTTCTCACACTGGGTTCTACTTGCCTGGAGATGGGTACAAGTGTATCCTGGATTTCATGCTGATGTCCCTCACTAGAATAACTGCATAGCCTGTTTCGTCACTTGGGGGGCTATGTTTTGTTCTCAGCTTCTGAAAACCAGAATATCAGCGATGAAGCCTGTTGGCAGTGAAGAGGAAAGGTGGTGTCCAGTTCTCCTAGCATCCTAAAGTCCAGATTCCTCCCAGAGTGGAGATAATTCCTGTGTGGGAGCTTGAGCGACTCTGCTCAGTTCCCTTCAGCGCTCAGCTCCGTAGTGAATGTTTTCTCTACTGAAGCTTTCAGAAAGGGGGAGACTACAGAGCTTATCTTGTGTTTGCTCTGTGCTTCTCCTGCAATGCAAGCCTTTTTCTTTAATTTCTGTAGTAGCTGTGGCATAGCCCTACTGCACTACCGCACCACATAGGAGCCAAAGTGGGAACTGGTGGGCCCCTTAATTTAGTCTCCAGAAATACCTTCTGGCATTTTTCTTGTGTAGACTGACATTTAGAAAAATCAAGAGTCACGCAGTTTGCTGCTGTTGCACAAGCAAAACTGTTTTCTAGAAAATATTAATGCAGAGCATTCCCTCTGTGCTCATTAAGTAGAGGTAACATTAAACTGGAATGAACGCCAAATTATTAGGTCTTGATCTTAGTCCAGCTGCATTCAGCGTGGCGTTAAATCAAAATGTAATCAATGCCTCCTGATTTGTCAGTTCTCCATTTCCCCCTTTTTTTTTTTTTTCTTTAATAGCTTGCCTTTGATTTCAATTATCCTATGGCATTTTCCCCTCAGTGGACCACCAAGAAGGCCACATTGCCTACTGAAGCAAAATAAGAAGAGGTGCTTGGAAGAAACTTCCAAGTCTGTATGGAAAAATGCATTAAATGGCTGCCATGCTAGCCCAGGATTTTGCTTTGGCCAATTGAGATCTTACCTATCACTGAAAAGCATCTCTTCTGAGTGATCAGTGATTTCATGATCCCTTGTGGAAACAGGCTGTATGGATTCTTCCTTTAGGAATCTCTTCTTTAGGGGAGACCTACAGCTCGGTCCTCAGGAGCAGTAACTGTTCCTAGGACATTTAGGGCTACAGACCTTGCTGCCTGGCTCAGCTTGTTATGAAGGGCTGGTGGGGTAAGCGTTATGCTCTTGTTTCGCCTTGGGAAGTAGTCCATTCTTCAAGTGATGGAGCCTAACAAGTATTTGCAAAGAGCTTGCTTACAGCTGAGGTAGCAGTTGAATTCACTCTAGCCTCCTTTTCGATGCTCATGGACCTCTCCATTGTTTTGGTACAGCGTCTGCATTTTGTTTTGTATAAGCAAATGGTACAGAAGAGTTTTATCTAGCATCAGTTTGCCCCGAAGTCCAGTTCAGGTGTGCAGTAAACTTAGGAGAGAGAGGAAAAACAGCTGCACAGAAGAATTTTGTGTGGCTTTGGCAATTGCTAATGTTTCCCCCACCTAAATAACAACCCATTCTAGTTGGTTAGATACAAATATAATGATCACAGATAATTCTATTTTAATAGCTTATCAGCATGTTATAGGTTGGGACACCTGGGCAGGAGTTACTTTGAGGGGCATTTAGCTAAAATGTTGAGGTGAAACAACCTCCCACCCCCAAGAGAGGGGCTTTGGGAATCTCACCACTCAGGCATGGAAAAGCCCTAGACTTTCACAGCTCTGCAATCAGGTGATTAATGTTCCTTGAGGGATTTAAAGAATTTGCTTTTGGAGGACCGCAGATGTGCAATGCTTGCCTTTTTTTGAAGGAAGGCGTCTGGGATTCTGGTAGGAGCAATACAAAAGTCTTTCCCAAAGTGACTCACAACTTACTGAAAAGAAACAAGGGAAGGATGCTGTTGAGAAATAAACTGTTTCTCTCCTGCATGCAGTTTGCTCATCCAGGGAGTGGAGAAATATTTGTAACAGCAATAGTCTGTACCCCCCAAAAAAGAGGGTGGTGAAAGAGAGGAGAGAGGCTGGCATGTTTTAACTTGGCACATACTGAGCATCTTTGGTTTAACTGTCAATGATTGGCCTTGCCACGACTTAACTTTTCTGGATACCGCGTGAGACACCATCTTTTGCCTGTTGAATTCCTGTCCAGATTGAGTAGGTTTCTCTGATACATTTTGAAACCCAATGCTATCAATGCATACGTGACCTGGGGGAGGGGGAGTGTTAACCTTAGCTGCTATTGATGAACCCCCCAGCACAAAGCAGAAACTGGGGGTTTTTTAACCATCAGAGAGAATAGTTAATCAAGGGAAAAGACAGAAAGCCCATGGCTCGAGGGATTTTTAGAAATGAATCAAAAAAACACAGGAGAGCATATTTAAGGGGTGGTTGGAACTACTACACTGGACAGAGGATGGAAGAAGTTTCCTTATCTCTCTTCCTTTTCTATGATCTATGTAACTATCACTAATGAAAGTTGTAACTAGATTACGTTATTAAGCACTTATGTGGATTTTACTGAGCAAGTTCCTCTTCCTGGAGGTCAGGTACTTACTGATTCACTGAACTGCGGTTTCTTCGCTGATTACAGGTTTAGCAGGATTTGTAAAAGTCAGGCATAAAATCGTGCTCGTAACCTCTGTCAGAAGGACTATGGCATCTGTGAACACGCTTCAGTGCCGGGTTCTTGTGCTCGTCAGGCCTTCTGCTTCAAAGGTTCAAAGGGGAGGAAGTGTCATTCTGTAGCTTAGGAATATACTTTCCTTACTAGAAGGATTTATTAGTCCCTTAGGACTAGCAGTGTTGGGTGGATGTGGGTCAGTGAGCACCAGAAGAGTATTCTGCTATTGATCCACGGGCTGACCCTGGAGTGAGTTATTTCAGTTGGAGACAGTGGCTGCTTCCGAATATCTAATACTGCTTTCTCATCTGTATAAAATGATTATTGATGGGAAGCAGGAAAGTGCC